TGCAATTCTTTAATGTTTACACATCAGAAACTACAAGTAACACACCTTCTGAATCCACCAAAGCACACCACTCACTCCAGTCCTTTAGGGGACCTAACTTGAAAGGTGAGTGGCAGTACAGCACTAGAATTCCAAAGGGAACAGATCACAAAGCTCTTGGATATTCAAAATGTTTCTACCTCTGCTTTTCTTGAAGATATTTACTGAAGAGAAAGTGTGGAAACATGCCAAGTGAATCCTCAAGCAATGGATTCATCAAAAGCAGTGAAACCAACTCAGGTTAAATACAACCAAGACGATAACTATGCTACATTCGGCTATCACTCACCTGAAACAATAGACCTTAAGTTAGGTCACTGAAGTGCCAAGAACAGCTACTTGTAATCTAACCAACACTGAGATCCAAGCAACTAATTAATTTAACAACAGATTTGAAGGAAAGATGGAAGAAGTTAATATGTAGTGGGTTCCATGGACCATCATGTCTTCGAGACAACACAACTGTACCAGCAAGCAAAATAAATCAGAAGTTAAGGTATGCCATTCAGCATTCCTTGTTTTTCGGACTGCTGCTCCCAGAATCTACAATGTCAGTTGTGAATTCTGGGGGCTTTTGGCCCAAATGAGTGACTCTTCCAGGTTCTAATTTCTGGTATCAGTGTTGATACATTAAGCCTGTATGACACAGTAAGTCTGTATGTTGCAGGCATTAGAAACATATGAAATTTGTGCCCTGGTCCACTTCTGCCCAACCTGGAAGGAGCTCGTACCTAAGTCCCCAGAATAAAGGATGTACATGGATCACTGTCGGGAAGTTTAGTATAGTTTTCCCATCAAAAATGATTCTCCAAAAGCAAAGGTTATGACCATACACTGCTTCAAACAGAATCCTCCTCTGTCTGTGTGCTGGGCAGAATTGGAAAAGGAATCGGAAATAAAATTGTTGACATCACAGTGTCCTTATAAAATCTATACTGCATTACTGTAGAACTGGAAGAAATAAAAGGGAAATATAGGGAGACAGGCTAGAGGTGCATAAAATTACACATGGAGCAGAGAAAGTGGATGGGGGAAATTGTCTCTGCCCATTTAACAGAACCAAAGATCACTGACTAAAGCTGACTGTTGGAAGAGTCAAGATTGATAAAAGGAAAAGTAATAAAGAGTCTTGTAGCACCTTAAGGACTCACTCATTTTATTTGGCGTGAGTTTTCTTGGACTGCACAGCTGATGAAGTCAGTGCAAGTTTATGCAACATAAACATCTTGTTCATTTTTAAAGCGTCCTAAGACTCTTTGTGTTTCTGCTGAAGACTAATGTCTCGTTTCCCTGTCTGGGATAAAACTTTGAATTCTTATTGAGTTTACTACCACAAAATGTAGTAATATGAGCTCGTAGCTACCAACTTGGAGAGCTTTTAAAAAAGGGACTGGACAAATTCTATGATATGGGATATCAATACCTAGTAGTCATCATGAGTGCATACTCCCTTCAGTATCAGACATGGTACGTCTCTATATATCATTTGCTAGGTACCATGAACAGGAAGACGCTGTTGCATTCCTGTCCTGCTGGTGAGCTTCCCGTAGCCAAGTGACTGGCCACTGTGTAAACATAATGCTGGCCCAGATAGGTCTTTGATCCAGCAGAAAGACTCTTTAGAGTCATAAACACAGAGTTCATTGCCTTTCCCCAACTTCACCCCATCTCTAGTCACTGGTGGGCTATTCTTTTCTGACAGAAGAATGCAGAGCCAAGGAATAAAACCTTCATTTGTTATAACTGAGGTTGCTTATGAAATTCAATCTCTGTACATTTCAGCACCAATCAACTTTGCTAGTTGAGACACAGTGTTCAAACACAGTTCTCCACTCAAAAAATGAGAAGAAAATATGTATTTTAATATGCATATTTTGAGAAGCTATACCTTTAAAAGGTATGATGAGCTTTATGCAACTACATATTCAAGTGCAAATGTTTATGGATTTTCAAACTGCAGATTGAGGTGAAAATGGGATGCAACAAACTTAGAGGTGAACACATGCAGAAGTGACACAGACCAGAAACAGACTGATTTATCCATCCATAGAAGTAATAATAGCATCAATGTTTGAAATCCTGTAACACAACTACACAGATGAAAATCTTGATCACACTATCAGCCGCAGACACTAAAGATTCCTAGTCCATCCAACCTTATGTTTGGAAGCTCTCCAGTGATCCCTTTTCATCCAGGGAAGCCTTTGGGAGCATTGGTATGGGTGGGGGCAGCAGTGATTTTTGTTAATTAAAGGCTTCGCCGCCCCACCTGGTTTGTCAACACATGCCTGTAACCCTATTCATCCACATTTCACTATAACTATCACTGGTTATTGCTTCAAGCCCAATTTCAACCATTTCAAGATTTTACAGTTCAGAAAAGAGATATTTTTACATAGCAATCCCATTACACTTGTCTTGGAAAGCATCAAGTTACTCAACAATGCTTAAAGCAAAAACAATAAATCATCATGGGGGTTCTTACCCCTCTCTTCTCAAAGGATATGTTGCTAAGTAAATAACACCATGATTATTTATCAAGATTTTTTCTCTGCTCTTCCATCATCAAGGCAATCCTATCACAGTGCCCATAGAACTCTTTGGGTAGTGTGGGCGGCATATAAGTTAAATAAATAAATAAAATAACAGTGAAGTCAAACAGCAAACAATATGAAAGACAATGTTTTGTTTAATCAGGGATGTCAACAGGTGAGGAAAGAGTCACTGATTTATGAAACACAAGAATACAGGTAGCAATTTTAGTGCAAGAGGAAAGAAAAACAAAAGACACAGCTGGGCTGTATCTGTAAAAATCACTCAACACTTCACAAAGCTTGCACATCTTAATGGCATTTGACTAGTCCAAATTTGGTACTATATTATTCCACTGTGGATTAAGCAATACTAATTAATCAAGAAGTTTAGCAATTGTTGGCTTTTGGAGACAAGCTCATATAAAACTACCTGAATGCTACAAAGGGTATGTCAAGATACATACAATTCACAATAACCTACATGACCAACTTTTCAAATTAAAGCAACCAAATTCTGCCAAACAATTAGCTAGGGCCAAATAACCAGACCCTTCAAATGGATCCTAGAAGGAAATAAAGGCAGGTAGAGAGTTGTTGTTTGTTGCTATCTGTTCTTTGTATGCTACTGTTTTAAAGGATGATCTAGGTTTACAATTTTCCATTTGACTATCAGTTTGACTACCTTTTTTTTATAGAGAGACCAAAAATTTGATGGTTAGTTTATGAGATATAGTGCCTGAAGGTATCTGATCAATTTCGTCCACCCCTCAGAATAATTCTCGATGAAAATGACCTAGTAGGGTGTGTGGATTTTTGGTATAAAAATCCAATTATTCCAGAAATGATCTTCATACATGAATATGAATGGTACTGATGTAGTATTCTGCAACAAATGAGTTACCTCCCACAAAAACAGGAAGAATCTGCAGAAGCAGTACATAATATTGACACCTGCAGAATCATCAACACTTGTATGAAAAGACCCATTTATTTGTCCATGTCTTCATAGTTCAGATATGCCAGATCTGTGTATTATTCACATGGACTAAGTGCATTTAAGAAGGGAGATGAAGAATCTGAATCTTTCCTGATCATCTGATTTCCAAAGAGTCTACTTCAAGGCTGGTTAGATGCTAGATCAGGAGCTCCCACTGTATCTCAGGGTGATCTGCAATCAATTTGCCAAGAATTTTTTATTCTCAACTGTTTACCAACAGGAAGAAACCCTGAGCAGGATTTGAGGGGTAATAGGAGCTAATTTCTGTGTGGAAGCATTATAAGCTCTTTTCACTTCTGCTACTCAAAAGAAACAAACTCTTCAAACTTGGAGTGCATGTCTTCTGCACCAGTTGGTGGATCACAAAGAGCAACACTGAGATCCCACAAATCAGAAGTCTGCCCACTCTGGTCTATCAAATAAACTCTTCTCCCAGACCTGTGAATGACTCATTCTTACTGTGTAGTGCATTCCCCACTTTTCTCTGGATATTACAGAAGCAGAGTGTAAGGGTTTGGGGTATAAAAATTCATTCTTCCAGAAATACTGGATCTTCAGACATGAATTTGAATGGTAGTGGGGCAGCATCCTGAAGCAAATGTTACCTCCCACATTTGCAAAGAGTACTGCACATGTAAAACACATACACACATGTGCATATTATAACAGGAAGTCATGATACACAATGCACACATACAGGGAGAGTTCATAACTAGCAGTACAGGTGGATATTATTCAACAAAACATTTGCAAGCAATATCATCAGATATAGCAATCTATATATAGTGGGTGTGCCCTTTCCTAGCCAAAAGTTCTTTCAATGGAAAAGAACTTTAGATTACTGTTTGTGGTGCAAATTAGCGGGGCTCTGCATGCATAAAGCACAACTTCTGAGAGTCCTGAGAACTCCAACTGGATCGCTCAACATTTTCTTCTTCGTTCAGGGAATCAACATTAAAGTAACCACTTTCAAAAGCAACTAGGACAAAGATTTTGCGTCCTCAGGAACGAACCAGCCATTTCCGTCTTGAGTAACTTGGAGACTTATATATGCCCTGGGAGAAATTAATGGAAAACTTCGCCCTCTTCCCCCAGCGAAAGGCGATACCCAGAAGGCAGAAGTTGTGCCCCGTCCAGGGCCTTTTTGCAAACTGCTGAAACCAGAACTGCGCACTTGGCACTTTTCAGCCGTAACTTGGGAGGCGGACAAGCTCCACGACTCCCAAAACCCCTTCGGGAGAGTCAGCGGGCAATTGCCGGCGCGCTTGTGGGGTGAGGAAAGCCCTGCACGGAGAAGCTAAAAGCGATCCGAGAGAAGGCAGGACGCAAACATGAAAGGAGGAAAGGAATGGAAAAAGAAAACACAGGAAGAAGGAACGGAATCCGAAGGGGAGGGAGGGAGCGAAGGAAGGGAAGGAGGGCGCACTTACGTAGCGTTTCAACTTCTTCTCCGGCGGCGACTTTCGGAGCCAGCCCGAGCAGACCACCTCCCCGCCGCTCATGGCTGCTCGGCCCCCCAAGGACACCGGCGGACTCTCCTCTGGGCAGCTGCAGCGCGCCTGGGCCGGAGAGACAACCACCCAGCAAACGCACCGCGGGAGGATCCTGCCTGCCTGCTTGCTTGCCTGTTCCTGCGGCGGCTACTCTGGGGGAAGGGAAGGGAAGGGAAAGAGGAGGGGAAAGAGGAGGAGAGGGAGGAGACGGCCGGGAAAAGGGGAGAGGGAGAGCGAGCGAGAGAGAAAGACGGAGGCAAGGAGGGAGGAGGGACGACCAAAGCGAGTGTGTGCCTGTGCTAGAATCAGGGACAGACCGCTTGCCCCGGATCCGGCACTGAAGGGAAAGCCTGCGTCCCTCTTCCCCGCCCCTCGCCTGGGAAAAAGGCGTCAGACTGGGCCCCGCCTCGACAACCGCAACTTTCTGCGCTTCCCCCGGAGAAGCCCGCCGTCGGGAACGCTTCGCTTGGCTCAGGGCTCGGAAGAGCCGAAGCGCCTCTCCCTCCAGCTTGGCAGGAGCGCGGCGCAGAGGGCTTCCCACTGGGCCGCCGCCACCATTGCAGCTTCGTTTTCGCCTCCGACTTTTACTCCACGCCTTGCCCGCGCTTCCCGCTCTCCACCCCTCAACTCCTGGGTTGTTGTTGTTGTTGTTGTTGTTTCGTAAGGGGGAGGAACCCGACCAAGTCCTTTCCTGGCCGCCTTCCTCCCTGCTTTTCTCTTAGGGGCCCCCTGGCTCGGCAAGGGAGGGCCTCGGCGCGGGAACAACGCGCTGCTAGTTCAGGAGGGCTGTGCGGAGCCGGTCGGAGGCCAAATTGGAACCGGGGAGGTGGGGACGGGAGTTCCCCCTGTCAGCCGCAGGCGACTGGGGCGCTCTTGAGGGGCGCTCTCGCCCTTTTTTTCTCTCCAAAAAGAAATGGGCGCCGGCTTCCCGCTCTCCCGCAAACTCCAGTTCCTTTCGTAAGACACACTCGTGCAACCAACATTAGCCCCTGTCGCTGTACTGGGTACTCGAGTCTCTCCTTGTTTTTCCTCAAGCCCCGAGGGGAGGGACCTCAGGAGTTCAACCTTCAAAAAGATCCCGAGACCTCCACTTCTTAGAAGGGGGAGGAGGCGAGAGCTCCCTAAGGGCCCTACAAGAAACATGCATTCGTTCAGATGTACATAACACTCGCCTTTTTAAAAAATGGATCACATTCCAGGATCTTGTGAGGAGTGTTTTAAACATGTTCTAGTGCTCAGGAGAGTGACTTTCAGGTAAGTAAAGGTGCAGCTGTTGGCAAATCAAGGAAGTAAAGTTCCTTTCACCGCCCTTTCCTCACCTGGATATAAAGTTGATGTGGTATTTGCATATACTGTACTGTATTACATTTTAAATTTAGGCAGGTGAAAAGCCCTAGATTTTTGCAGTTCCTATAAGTTACACATTTATTCTGCCAATAGTTTTCATCACCCAGCCCCTTCCATATTAACTGTGCATCTGCCAGATGTCCTGTCATGTTTATTAATTTTTTGTTTGTTTGTTTTGAGCAAAAGCTGAATCAATATTTGAGTAGCTTGGAAAGATGCATTTTAGAAGAAAAAAAATTACACTTACTGTTCACAATATTTAATTTTTTAAAATATCTTTTATTAATTTGTTAGAAATAATTATCCCTGAAAAGTAACTGATCGGAATGTTTTTAGGGAACAACTGGATGCTACAAGCAACAAGCTTGCAATACAAAATACACTCCTCTTTGACATCCACAGCAGATCAACAAGATGTGACGCAAGGCTGCAATTCATGTGATATTCCTCCTCCAACATTCAGTGAAACCATATCGCATGAAAACCACTTAAAAGTTGTACTGTGAGAATGACATAACTGCCTGTGCTTGTACCAATGTTACAGGGGAAAATGTGTTAATTACAATAAACTGGCAATGTGTAAATAATTCCATGTTCTAAATCAGTGGTGTCCAACCTTGGCCCTCCAGATGTTCTTGGACTTCAACTCCCAGAAATCCTGGCCAGCAGAGGTGGTGTTGAAGGCTTCTGGGAGCTGTAGTCTAAGAACATCTGGAGGGCCGTGTAAATAATTCCATGTTCTAAATGATTCAGGATATGACTTTTTCTGAAACCTACCTTAAAAGCAGGAATGAGGATTAAACTGTAGTTCCCACCAACCAAAGACCATACAGTTGAGTCTACTCTGCAAGGCCTTCTACATGTATAAGCTAAAATACCCACAAGGAAATCTCTCTTGGGAAGAACAATGTGGCAAAAGGACCATGTTAAGCATTTAACAAAGGTGTTCTGAGCATTGTTCACTCTATTTACAAAATGCTACGTCCTCTTCATACATAACTGAGAGCAGGATAACAGAAGGTCTCTATCAGTGCGGATGATTCAGAATATGTGGGAGCCAAGGCTACTTTAGACCATAGGAAGCCAACACTTATTTATTTATTTTATTTTATTTTATTTATATCCCGCCTATCTAGTCGATTAAGACCACTCTAGGCGGCTTAGAGTTTGGTGGCTTTAAAAAGTAGGTGGGTTGTCTTTCCCTGGGGATCAAAAGTAAGGAGTCAGGAGATACCAAGGATTTGCCTTAAGGGGCAAGCATCCCACTTTGCCCCCATTGGTCTTGACTGGTTATAGCAGAGGTGGGAAACACTTGACCCTTAACATTGTTAGGATTCAACTCATATCAGCTCTAGCCAGCATGGCCAATAGCAAGGGGTTATGAGAGCTGTCCAAAAGATCTGGAGCTGTAAAGGTTTCAAGACCCGGATTTTACAGATTGGGCAGACAGAATGGAATCTGAATAATACCTCTGAGCGCAGATGCATTCTCTGTAAATGTTCAAAGATCCAAGCTTGTTACAAATCCTGTATCAATACAGGATCATTTAAGTCCTACTGTGTAGCGCTGCAAAAGTCTGGTGAAATTGTTTAATAACATTGCACACATATTTAATATGCTCAGGTCTTTTTCTACATGCAAACATAAGTTTATCTTAGTTATTGGTTAGATTTTTAAAAGATTGTTTTCATTTACAGCTCTCTTTCGTGAAAGGTTTCCAGTACCAACAGGATCACTATATAAACACATGAGTTTCCAAACAGATACCTATTTTGGTCAGCTGTCATCATCATGTTAATTATCCTTTAACATGAACGAGGCTGTGGCTTCATAATGAAAATACAGGAAATAATTTCTTCCATTCTTTTAACAGTTTAAAAAAACAATTTCCTCTTTTTTGGGAAACAGTCTACTCACTGTATCAGAGTGTTGTGAGGCATTGTTTTGATAACACATCTGAAGGTCATTCACTCAAGTGGATTGCACCAAAAAGTTCAAAATGCTCTTCAATTTCAGCAAAGCTAATTATAAAAGACCAAAATGCCAGGTAATTTAGACTGCTGATCTCATGGTCTCTTAAATGGTCCTTGGTATCTAGGGCTCCTGGGATTTGTGGCAAGTTTAAATGTAGTATGTTACTAGGTACAGTTTGTTGCAAAACAGCAATTCTTGTTTAGTCATTAAGTCGTGTCCGACTCTTCGTGACCCCGTGGACCAGAGCACTGGTTCTTAACATTGGGTTACTCAGGAGTTTTGGACTGCAACTACCAGAAGCCTTCACCACCAACTGTGCTGGCTGGGGTTTCTGGGAGTTGCAGTTCAAAAACATCCGAGTAACAAAGGTTAAGAACCACTGGACCAGAGCACACCAGGCCCTCCTATCTTCCACTGCCTCCTGGAGTTGGGTCAGATTCATGTTGGTTGCTTCGATGGCACTTCCCAACCATCTTGTCCTCTGTCGTCCCCTTCTCCTCTTGCCTTCACACTTTCCCAACATCAGGGTCTTTTCCAGGGAGTCTTCTCTTCTCATGAGCTGGCCAAAGTATTGGAGCCTCAGCTTCAGGATCTGTCCTTCCAGTGAGCACTCAGGGTTGATTTCCTTCAAAATGGATAGATTTATTCTCCTTGCAGTCCAGGGGACTCTCAATAGTCTCCTCCAGCATCACAATTCAAAAGCATCAATTCTTCAGCAATCAGCCTTCTTTATGGTCCAGCTCCCACTTCCATACATTGCTACTGGAAAAAACATAGCTTTGACTATGCGGACCTTTGTCGGCAAGGTGATGTTTCTGCTTTTTAAGATGCTGTCTAGGTTTGTCATCGCTTTCCTCCCAAGAAGCAGGCGTCTTTTAATTTTATGGCTGCTGTCACCATCTGCAGTGATCATGCAGCACAAGAAAGTAAAATCTGTCACTGCCTCCATATCTTCCCCTTCTATTTGCCAGAAGGTGATGGGACCGGTGGCCATGATGTTAGTCTTTTTGATGATCTTCAGACCATTTTTTGTGCTCTTCTCTTTCACCCTCATTAAGAGGGTCTTTAATTCCTCCTCATTTTCAGAGCGGTATCATCTGCATATCTGAGGTTGTTGATATTTCATCTGGCAGTCTTACTTCTGGCTTGGGATTCATCCAGTCCAGCCTTTCGCATGATGTATTCTGCATATTAATTAAATAAGCAGGGAGACAATATACAGCCTTGTCATGCTCCTTTTGCAATTTTGAACCAATCAGTTGTTCCATATCTAGTTCTAACTGTTGCTTCCTGTCCCACATATAGATTTCTCAGGAGATAGATAAGGTAGTCAGACACTCCCATTTCTTTAAGGACTTGCCATAATTTGCTGTGGTCCACACAGTCAAAGGCTTTTGCATAGTCAACGAAGCAGAAGTAGATATTTTTCTGGAACTCTCTGGCTTTCTCCATAATCCAGCGCATGTTAGCAATTGGGTCTCTAGTTCCTCTGCCTCTTCAAAATTCAGCTTCTACTTCTGGGAGTTCTCGGTCCACATACTGCGGAAGCCTACCTTGTAGGATTTTGAGCATAACTTTGCTAGTGTGTGAAGTGAGTGCAATTGTATGGTAGTTGGAGCATTCTTTGGCACTGCCCTTCTTTGGGAAACAGCAATAGAAAAGGGATTTTTGCCTTCCTGCTTAGTTAGCAGGTTTCCCAGAGGCAAATTCAACCTGCAGTCTAGTCAGCTTCTTTAAGTGGAAGGGGCGCCATTTTCTCCTGTGCTTCAGTGTGGAAAACATCACTGGCATGCTGTGTTACAGGATCATGGCTAGACCTATGAACCACTAGGTTACCCTTAATGCATAAAAAACAA